GCGCGGCGAGCCGGGCGCCGCGCGCCCCCTCTGCCTCAGCGCCCTCCCTCTGGGCAGCCGTGTGCTACTGGAGGGGGGCTGTGTGCCTTTTTCAACACCTCATCCGCTGTCTGCTTGAACCCTGGTAGGTGATGTTGGGGAAGAGGAGGAGGAGGCGGAGGAAGGAGAAGAAGATGAAGATGAAAACAACGTTGACGTGAAAGCAAATGCAGATGGCCCACCTCTAAAACGGACAAAAGTTCAGCAGTCCTGACTATGGCGTGAAAGACTGTATTTAGGCCTAAAAAAGAGACTTTACAGCAGTATTGAATGTAAGTGTTCTTTTGGAGGGTGGTACCTCGGGGGTGGGCAGACTGTTCTTGCAAGGCTGAAGATGAAGATGAAAACAACGTTGACGTGAAAGCAAATGCAGATGGCCCACCTCTAAAACGGACAAAAGTTCAGCAGTCCTGACTATGGCGTGAAAGACTGTATTTAGGCCTAAAAAAGAGACTTTACAGCAGTATTGAATGTAAGTGTTCTTTTGGAGGGTGGTACCTCGGGGGTGGGCAGACTGTTCTTGCAAGGCGGGTGTCAGCGTTTTTGTTCCTTTTGCTCATGTTTTAAAAACGAAATGTAGATCACTGTCACTATTTCAATATAAGAAGCCTAATAAAAGGGTGTGTATTAGCATTAGCAATGTGCTTTTTACAGGAAGCGAATATTAGGCTGAAAAGATTGAGAATTTTCAGTAAACCAGGTGACAGATATGAAACACTTTTAATGGCTTCTCCTGATCACAGTATTTCTTCATATGACTTAAAACCAAACTATTTTAAAATAAAATAATAAAATATGAAGCCCGTTATTTTGTCAGCTATGGTTTTTAAATGGTATAAGACAAAGAAATCATTTGTATGGAGAGAGAATAGTGTAAGATCACTTGAGTATTCAAAATAAGTTACAAACACTTGCACAGATGTGACTGTCTGTTCCTGAACGAGCCTAAAAGATGGCAGATTGTTTCTGCGTATAATATAAAAGGTTTATTTTAGTCACCCATCACTGAAGTACTTTCCTGGTAAAGGTCATAGAAGAAGTAGATTGAAAGAGCTGGAAATCTTAGTCTCCAAACATTTTGAATTTTTATGATAGCCAGGAAGCTGACAAGTCAATGCGACTTGGATAATTATCTTTTATATCATTATACAAGTAAAACATAGCTGTCTATCCTAGTCATCTGTTTCTTCCAAACAATCTTTGTTTTTTCAAGAACCATTTAATCTTTATATACCTTTTTCATCACTGACTTTTAACCAGTTTGATTTTTAGGCCGATTCAGCAGCTAAGTCAAATAAAGTGAACGTCACAGCCTTATTAATCTGCCTATGTAGAAGTTTCAGCATTACGTCAAAGGACAAAAGGAGCAAAGTGAAATTTTATGATACTTCCTACAATAAAAACAAAAGTCAGGGCAGGAACTGGGGGCAATATCACATTCTACACTGGTTAGCGTAGTTGATTTTAGAGGAGAAAAAACGTAAGTATTCTTGTAACACCTGCCAGTATGTTATGTTTTTGGCTGTACAAACCAGCATAACCCAATCTCTGTGCTGAGCAGGAAAGAGAGATGTCCTGTCATCTGATGATAATGCAGTAGGTGGAATGTTATCAGGCTGTCAGATGGTTCTTGCAGGGAGGGTGAGGGTTGTAAATGCTTCCTGTGTGTTACTTTAATTCCAAATTTCTGTTTGGTGCATGCTTCTGTGAGCAAGTATAAGATATGCTTGATACCCAGTCCACCGAGCTTGCTGTGAAGCCTGAGAGTTTTCCCTACCAGAAATTAGCTAGCTGATTACTAGTGTAAAAAGCATTAATTTCCATGTGTTGCAAAACAGCTGGCATAGCTTGTTTCTTGGTATTCTAGAAATAGAGCAAATCTTGACACATGAATACTGAGGGCAAACAAAATTATGGGTGAATTTTTACTAGCACAAAACTACCTGCATTCATTTGAAATCATGCAAAAAGTTGAAAAAGAGATCCAGTAAATGTATCTTGGATGTCTTTCTAACAAATTCACACAGGACACACCTATTATTTTGCTAGCAGATATGACAGTCATAACTGAGGAGAAAAGACTGTGACATCAAAGACTAGAGAGTTTTATTTGCTGAGAACCTAAGATAGGAAAAAAGTGTACAAATGAATTCTGACCTCTTGTCAGGCTGCAAAATCTTAAGAGTGATAAAATACTTAAAATGTTCTTTTAGTGTAGATAATATATGCATTGAAGGAAGTGGCTTATCAAAGCGGCACAGGCAACATTTCACATACAAAAGCTAGCCTAATAAAGACATCAGAGGGCTGCTTCATGTGACCTGTGCTAAACTAACAACATGTGTTTTGGGTTCCATGTAACACAGCTTTAGAAGCTTTTTATAGAGCTCTACCCAAAGCAGTATTTTTTTTTTATTTTTTCCCTCCCTCCTTCAAACAGCACTCCTAACCACTGCAGTAATGTCAAGAGACTCCTTAAAAATAGTCCACAGGTACACAGAAGTTGACATGTCACCAGTTGAAAACCATTGGTGTAGACCAACAAATCCTAACTTTACTAGCCTGGGAATAAATTAAGGTAATGCTCCAAGTAATGAGATAACTGTTTTCCTGTGTCAGCCTGGACAGTGGTGACATCTTGCACTTGAGCTCCAGAAGAGTTCAATGAGCACTGAGATGAAAACGGCCACTCAAATTTTGCTTTTAAAGAATCATTTCTAGTCCTTCTGTTTGCAGCAGAATTTTGAAAGAATGAGGAGGATACTGGGCTTTCAACCTTAAGCGTTCCTAAAACATAGGCTCACCTGTGACATAAGTGCCAAAACTCTTCAACAGAGAACTTTATTTTTCAGAGAGCTGCTGTTCTAGGGTAACTAGGCACACAAAAGTTGTGGTGCTTTTTTCCCCTCCCCCCTCCCTGTCTGTTCTTAGAGCTGCGTTGTGGACTCTTTGGGGCGGAGGCCCTCTCTCCCACCAGGACCGCAGCCTCCCAGTTCTGGTACTGTCCTTGTAGTCAGGGAAACAGGTATGTGGGGCAACAGAGGTAACTAGCTGTGGCATCCCTCTTCCAAGCAACCAAGTCACTGAGGTCTACAGCATTTCCCATGGCTGTGGGAAACAAGCTCTAAAGTTTTCTGTTATGTGGAAAAACTTAGCACTCATTGGTGTGGAGAATATAGCAAAAAAAAAAAAAAAAAAAGTCTGCAATGTGCAATGACTTATATCAAGCTGTGCTAGAAGATGAAACTCCCTGAGCAACCCTGTGAGAGCAGGTACAATAATATGTACACCACCAGTCAACTGTGTCCTGCATTTTAGGTAGAGTAGATGAGCCTTGATGGAAGAAAGCTGGCATGTTCTTTTTGTCTCCAAGACAGAGTAGTGCTTTTGTACCTTAACCAAAGTTTAGGCTGACACAGAATGAGTCCTGTTCACCATATGATCTGTGCTGTTTATTGTTGTTTGTACATCTTAATAATAGGCCTTAGTTTTATTAGCCAGAAAAGGGCTAGGGCAGATGGATTTACTTAGTGCTAAAGGAGAGAAGGGGAGAAAATGTTTATATGCTCCTACTGTATGAAAGAGCTGAAGTGATCCTCAACTAAATTCAAGATAGTTTTTACATAAGAAGCAAATATTAGCTCAAAAAAGTCAAAGCAGGTCTCCTTTACATAAATTGGGATTTCAGTGTATGAGGTAGTCTGTTGTTGCTACTTTGAAATACTGAATGAATACTTAATGAATTGCAGTGTTCTGTGTTAACCAAAAACTTTAGAATTTCAAGTTCAGTATTTATTAAGCGCTCAGATGTTTTTGCAAGGGGAAGAGGGTAATCCCATTATGCCCCATAATCAGGGTGTTTTTTGATAAGGTGCAAAACCCGTTTGTATCCTTTCCTAGTTCTGAAGAGATTTTCTAATTGAGAAATTTTTCACATCATTTTCATTAAGAGGATATGATTGTGACTCCCCCATTGTCATCCTGTGGAACTCCCACTCTGTCTGACTTAAGAGTCAATTTACATACAAGCTCCCACAGAAATCAAATTCTCTCTAAATTATACAGTAATGTGGCAGAGCATAACGTATCACAGGGCTTAATATGCAGTAACTGTTATTAACACCCAACAGCATAAACAACTCGGCAGTGGTTTTGGACACATCCATTAGCCCCAAAGTCTACCAACCTAGTCAGTTGTTTTGAGGATTGAGAGTAAAGCATAAGTGCCTTTTTGTGGCTCTTACAAGTTCTTTCTTGCCAGAATGAGCCTGTACTGTAGGGCTAGCTTCAAGGAGAGCTAAAGCTGAGGCAATTCTTAGAAATGAACTAAGTTATTAAACTGTTCTCCTGTATTAGTTCATATCTAGAAAAGAGATACATAAAAATCAGTATTTAAAAAAACCCATTAGAATAACAAGCCACTTCCATGACTGATCCACTAGAGACCATCTCTTAAAAAAGGCAGGGAGAAAATAAAGGGGAGTTAATAGCAAGTATCCTACACAAACTGTAAAGCTTTGTTCCAAGGGTAAGTCAATCCTTGTACTTTAATGTAACACACTTCATAAGGGACACATTTTATTGCAACTTACTTTAATCCAAGCCTGAAAGGCTGCAGCCTTAATTTACGCTCTTCACTGCACCTGCCCTCTCATAGGAGGAAGGAACAGGCTCAGCACAAAACATGACAGAGGTTTTCCTGAGATGGAAAGGTACTGTCAGTTGAAGGTGCAGGAGCTAATGACACTAGCACTCCGACTGCCCAGAACTAATCCTCAAGCACAGTTTGACACAAAGGTTTATTTTGTGTCTCAAGCACAATAAAAAGAAACCCAGGGTAAGTGATACAGAGATGCACATTAACTGTGCATTTTACCTGCTCACTTTCTTGGCCAAAAGCTAAAGGTCTGAACAATTACAAGGCTAGTATGTGCTAGCTTCTCCCCACCCCCACCCCGAGGTCTTCATTACTGCCTCTGCCTTTCACAGCTTCTGCTTTAGAAAGCTGTTCAAGATCAGCAAGTCTGAGCTAACTCATTTCCAGTTAAAAATGAGTAAAAATAGCTTTCCATCCCTAAATGAAAACTGTGGCAATATATTTCTTCTCTGAGTGGACAGGAGAAAAGATGTAAGTAGATTCAAATGAGAAAGCCCTAATATAAACTAGTCTGGCATCTTTTGTTAAAGTCATTGCTGTAGAAACAGATTTGTGCTATATCTGTCATGATCAAGAACCGAGAACTACTGTAGTCTTTAAAGAGGTAGTAAAATTATTTTGAGCTTGATTATCCTGAAAGTTTTTTAGATAGTGTCAGTTTGTCTTATAGCCGACTATCATCTGTGATTGAGAACTAATGAGCACCTGGAGGTAGTGTAAAATTATTTTAAGTTTGATTTTCCTGAGGCTTTTTTAAATAATGTCAATTTGTGCTACAGCTTATCAGCTGTGATTGAGAGCTAATTAGCCCTGATCCTATCTAAAAATCTTCAGGATAATCGAGTTGAAGTAATTTCCCTACCTCTTTAAACAGACTATAGTAAAAAGCAATTTAATCATTAATTTTGATAGTCTTTTTCATTTGCTTATTCTGTGGTAAGACGTCTATTGATGTTCTGTTGGTGACAAAAACGCTGGAAGCATCAGCGGAGCTACCTTTCCTCTCCTCCCAGGCCTGTCGTCTAATACTAGACTACATTAATAGTTTATACTAATTCTCACATTGCTGTTTTCCACCTCAGGCTCAAATTTTCAGATGTAGTGCTGGCTTGATTTAAATCATGCATCTTTCTGTAGTTAGTTGCAAAGCT